GAATTCGTCTGCTAGAATGGTCAGGTGAGGCGATTATTAGGGGAAAAACTGTCTGGATGAGTCCTTGTCATGGGAGGAATCATACTCTCGCCCACGAGGAGATAACAGAGCCGAAGAGAACTGATTAGGTTCGAAAGGACACTCATGGGAAGCCCAGCGCTCCTACTCATGACTGCCTCAACTCTTCAGAGCCCCACTACTTTCCAGAGAATTGGAATTGAGCAGTTCAGGAGGGCGCAGCTAGACTGAACTCACTGTTCAGGACCATGCGCCCCCATAGAAGATGTCGATGAAAGATTGCCTATCCCCAACTCTTCACCGAATACAGCAAATAAATGGCTCATACCCCCACTCATAGAGTTTTGATCCTTGCGAAAGCATGAAGAAACATAAACAATGAACTTTCAAACTGTCTAGACCTCTTTTTATTAGATCTGGGAGACGGAAGATGTGTTGAGATCTACAAGCACTTCCGAGTAGGAGCTATGTGACTACTCAATTTCCTCCATTTATGCTGGAAGTTTACAAGCTCGTTGAATGTAGTTCTTCCATTCTCTCTCACTTGTGGATGAGCTCCATGACTTTTCAAATTATTCCTCATGCAGTCTATTAAAGTCTTTTGCCTTCGCCACTTCTTTGTATGGGTTGCCCCCCGCATATGGATAATATGTGGGAAAATAAAGGGTTTTGAATGCGTATGAGGTCTATACAACGAATCGCGATGGCCAGTAGGTTTGAAGATCAGAGTTTCTACCTTCCTTCGCGTGTCTCTTATGGACGAACTGACCCTGAAGGAGCTGGGAATCGATCCCGGATCATGCATGTGACAATGTTACTTGCCATTACGCCACGCAGTTATCGCGTACAAATTACAGGACTTTTCTTGTTATGCACAGGACGAAATTTTCGAGTCATTGGTACTACATTTGCTTGGAAATGTGAAAGCATCGACTTCCCCGCCTACTATTGCCACCAACTCATTAAGGAGGTCCACTTTACACTCAAATTCCACACTGACTCCGGACGGAAAGAAAGGGGAAAGCATGTGTGCATTCTGAAACTGAAAACTTTCCTGAGAGGGCATGCCTATGGTTATGATTATGATTATGATTTATTATCGGAAATCAAAGAAAATAACAGAACGGCAAAAAGAAACACAAACAAGCACCTCTGTCCTGGTCATGGTTCCTCTCTCACACAAGTCCAACCGTTTCACAATAGGGACAGAACTGCTGGGAATTTCGCTAAGCCAATGCATTCTTGAATTTTCACCTAGATGGAAAAAATAATTACATATTTTTACATTGAATGGCCATCCTCAGTCATTGTATGGGCCGTATACGCATTCAAGAAGTCACTACCATTCCGAAAGGAAATCGAATGTGGGGTGTATCCCAGGAGCGGGATTGACTAATACTATTAGACCTTGTCCTCTACACTGTGAAGATATTCGGTCTTTTTACCAACTTGCACATAATGAGGGTTTTCATACCCACACATCAAGCAGCAGCAGTTGACCGACCCTGAAGGGATGGAAGCGTCGTCTGGCTTAGGCGGGTCCGGGATTCGAACTCCGGACCGGACCATGCGTGTGATAGTTTACGTTATATAACACTACGCTACCTTCAGTAGAAAATTAGAGTTTTGTATATAAAGAATGCAAAATGCAATGCAATGTTTCCTTGAAGGCTTCAATGGTGAAAGAAATATTGCTGTTAGTTGACAAACCGATTCACCGAAACTCCTTCTCACACCCAATGTGATAGGTGAATAACAAATTTACTCAACTGTATAGCCAGCTGTACAGACAGTAGTCCGGGATCGAATATAAACTGCTAAAATCACCAATATGACACCTTGTTGTTTGTTGTTGTTGTTGATACCCTTGTTTACGGTTGCAACTCATTATGCTAATACTTATTACAACATCAATGCAAAGTTATGGAAAGAGCAATATTGCATATGTAGTGCTGAAGAATAAAAGTTACTAGTGGTACATAGCAATGTTTGACTGTTAGGTGGTCTGGTAAGAGTGCTTGTTGATAGCCCATCCACCTGGTTCTATGCGTCAATCAATTTCATATATCCTGGCACATATAAATTTTTATTTTGTAATTTATATCGAAAAGCGGAGATATTTCATTTTATTTCTCAGTGTATGGAGCATGACGAATATTCACTCTGTTCTTCTTTTTCCTTCGTCTTTTTTTTGTAATGAAAACGCCTTTATAACAAGAAATAACGTTTGGAGGCATGACTATCAAGGATCAAGCTAGCTGTAGGAACATTTACTCGTATGGTTCCAACATTATCAAATTCTTCGGGATCATTGATGGCTTCCGACTTGTAGTCAGAACCTTTACGGGCAATCATTGTTCAATTTTATGCTTCTTTCTGTTTCTCTAAGACCAGTCG